AAAATGTTGTTTTCGCAGAAGACTTTGTCAACACAGGGAACGGAAGCTTGAACACATGTAACAGCTGCCCGGATGGAGGACGACTCCTTTCCAAAATGGGGTTCTCGGTTGAGGCCTTTGAAGTCCAATGATCAGGGAGCTTAACGCATGCAACAGTTGCTAAGATGGGGGTGGCTCAATTTCAATCGTGGGCTTTCGCACCGTCCAGATGAAGGATGCGCGGCAACGCGTTCTCCAAGCGGTGGTCTCGACGGAATGACAGGCTCAAAAGGCGGTCGTCGTTCAATGGGACGCGTCTTGTAGTGAAAAGGGTGGCCTGCAGGGAGCCCTTGAGATGAGGCCTACGGCGGGAGGGTGTGGTGCAGCATCATTGACGCATCCTGGGTTTACTCGGGTTCTCCTCCCCTTCCTCGTCTTCCTCCTCTCGTCTTCCCCGGCTGCGCTCCCTCCTGTTATTGCTGATGGCTCGCTTGTGTGCCTACCCTCGTGGTGAGCGGCCCTCCTCGTGCTTAAGCCTCTCATCCATCTCCTTGTCGTCCTCATTGCTCAGGCGCCACGTGCTCAGGTCCGCGTCGCTGCCTGCGCGCCTGCGAAGACGACAGTGCAACAGGTCCCCTGCGCCTGCATCCCCCTCTACTTTCGAAATTCCCTCCCGCAGCCACAATGCAGAACCCGATGCTCGTTCTGTGAGCTCCAGACGACTGTTTTGCCAAACCGCCGTATCCACTTCATGCTGTGGAGTCCCTTGCGGCTTCCGCATGGAAGACACAGCCTGCGCAGCTCGGTGCGGTGGAATCACCATGCCCCTGTTCGAGCTCGCATCCATGCCTGGAAAAGTGTGCCCCTCTCTATGGCGATCACATGGTACCCGAGGCCGTTAACAGCGGTGGCCACTATACCGACGCAACACACGGTCCAGCTTGTCGACCTGCGCCTTACGCACCAGATTCAGGTGCAGCGCCAACGACTAGTCACCGACGGTGATGCCCAGAGGTGTCTTGGCCATGGTGACGCGCGTTTGATGCATGATCCGCAACTCCACTGCCATCGTGGATTTCTCTCCCGCTCCGACCACGAGCTCGGTCTATTTGTTCAACGTTCGCGCTCGTGCACTGGTCCATCGGCATGGACATGAAAGAAGGTTTCCCCGAGGAGGCGGACTACGATGCCCTCGGCATCGTGTCCTTCGATGGCGTGGGTGATAAGGGATGCCATTGCGACGAGTTCCGAAAGGCAGTCTCGAGTTGTGTCCCGTGCTGTTGTCTTCGGATTTGCTGGAGTGGCGGCCCTGGAGAAAGCCATACGCAGAGGTGCCATCATGCAGCCCTCCCTCCCCCCCCTCCTCCTGGCTGTGACCTTCCGCGGCTCTCCCCTCCCTTCTAAGGAAACCACAAGGTACCGATACCCCTACTCTCCAGCTCTCTCCCGGGGTGCTCTCACTAGGATGTCGAGGCTCCGCTTGGCGTCCTTCTTTCAGCCACTGCATCCCTGCATCGCAGTCGTGGTGCACTGCATGCTTTGGGCTTGGACCTTCAAACATTTCACAGTCTGCCCATGTTTATATCAGCTTAACATATTTGCATGATGCATTTCACTTACACGTTTCTTTTCGTTGTGTCTTTCGACCCCAATGCTACCTTGGTGCCCCCAAATGGATAGTTTTCCGCGGGGAGTGTGCTGCTTCTTTTTACGCCGACTGTCTCACATCGCAAGATTCTCGAACAGGTCGTGCGCAGCTTAGCCAGTTGTCCAGCCTCCCTGCTCGCTCGCTCGCTCCTGCTCCTGCTCCTCCTCCTTGCTTCCTCCTTTACCGGGCCCCTCCTCTTGCTCATTGCTTCCTCATCCCTCCTCGTCGTCATCGCTGCCCTCCTTCTCGTCCTCCTCATCCTCCGCTTCCTCCCACTCATCATCATCATCATCATCATCATCATCATCATCATCATCATCATCATCATCATCATCATCATCATCATCATCATCATCATCATCATCATCATCAGCATCAGCATCATCATCATCATCATCATCATCAAGCGCCACTGGGGCTCAGACCGCAGCCCAGCTGCGCGACAGGGCAGCGCTCGTCCGACATTCCTTTTTCGGACGCAACCTCTCCCTCGAGGCGCCCAGCTGTTGAGCGCAGCCGTCTCGAGGGCTCGCGGCGCATGGCTGGAGAATGCGCGTGCTGGGGCCTCTTCGATTATTTCTCTACAGCCCGCTGTCGCTGATCGCCGTGGGCAGGTGCCGCGAAGTGGCACACGAGCTTGGAGCCGATGCCGTCTTACTGCCGGGCACTCGTATTCGAAGCTGGTCTGGCCGACAGTATCAGGTTGAGAAGTTGGGCGACGGGTACTCTGCGATTCATTTTGGCTGGGCGGCGTCAGCGTGGACGAATCGGTCTGCAGGTTGCACGATCATACTGGGCAGACAGTTTAGACTCAAAGATGTGGTGGATATCTTCACTCCGCCCAAGTCTATTCAAGGCAGAGCTGGAGCGGTGAGGGTGAAAAGCGGCAAGTTCGACGTGACCCTGGTCGTTGGATATCCACCCCCCACTGGCCCCACGGGCAAGAAGATGTCGGTGTACGAGGGGGCTGTGAAGGCGACGCACCAGTGGGTTGACAACATAGTGGAGGGTACGCGGGCCCGCTCTCTCTTAGTGGTGGGCATGGACGTGAACAGTGGCTTTGGTGAACGGAGTGATGGGGTTCCTGTGGCAGAGGAACATGCTGGAGAATACAACAGGGCCAAGCAGAACATGTCGGGCGACCTCGCGGAGCAGCTGTGCCTCACTCGCAACTTGTGCTCACCTAGTACTTGGTATTCCGAGGGCGGGCCCACGTTCTTCGGTTCCAAGGGGGCGAGCTCTACGATCGACCACTGGTTCATCCCAGTGGCTGCTATGGGGAACGCCCTTGATTGCAAGGTGAGCTACTTTCACGGGAGACGGCTTCAACTCATTCCTGATCGACGCCCACGTGATCATTTACCGCTTCTGCTTGTGATTGATTACATTCTGGAAATGCAAGACGGAGTCACTGATTCGAAAGCAAAGCTCATGACCTGGGACCTTCAGAAGTTATCGGAAGCACTTCAAACGGGAAAGGGTCGAGATCTACTTCTACTGCAGCTGGAAGAATTATTCACTCAGCATGAGAACGAGTTCATATCTCTCAGAGAAGATCGGCGAGTTGATGAACACTGGAGTCTGGTGATGCAACTGATGCAGGAAGCTGGTCAGGCACATTTCCGAAAGCACCCGCCTGAACGACACAATACCGCAGAGGCACGTTTGCAAGTTGAGAGGCGACGGCTAGTGGCGCTTCGTGCGGAGGAACGAGCACGAGTGGCTGGAATGGGCTCTCGCGGGTCCGACTCGACTGGTGACGACGAGCAGGTTGAACCCATCAAGAGGCTCACCAAGCAGCTCAGACAATGGGCGCGCAGGCGACGAGCTGAACGACGCATGTCACTCGAGACGGACCTGGCGGAGGCTGAGAAGTTGGGGCATACGTATGAGATGCATCGGATAGCACATTTGTTGGCAGAACGAGCTCAGGGTACCAAGCGACGGCAGTATCTTACGACGCCCGAGTCACGACCGTCGGCTAAGGCGGTCGAGGCGCACATGGCGAAGCCGAGCGCAGAGGGAGGCATGTCAGCAGTACGCGTTGATCGAGCTGAGCTTCTCGCCCGTCGTGGTACCACAGCCGCTCGTCTCATGGAAAGGAGTGCTTACCTTGAAGATCTAGCTGAACGCGATCTTTGTCGTACGATTTGGGCTATGCGAAAAAGTGGGAAGCGCAGAGGATCTGTGCAGTGGAGTATCCCCGTCGAACTTTTACTTTGCTGTATTGAACCTGGACATTGCACTACGGCGAGGAGACCACCACGTGGTCTGGGACAACCACCGATCGAGGAGGTAGCGCAGTCTTGTCGCAGCTGCCGCTCGGAGGTGCAGGAGGCCTTACTTCATGTACGTCGAGCTGAACGCGCACCTGCAGCTGCGCACTGGTCGTTTGGCTTCGCCCTGGACAAGCATAACGGACTCAGAGGTCTGGACGGCAAGAGGCTCATTCACCTGGTCTGCACCTTCTGGAAGTTTTTCTTCGGCGGTCTACTTCGGAAGCCGAGCAGCCGTGAGCGCGAGTTGAACTTCGATCCGACTTGTCACGGCTACTTGGCGCACCGCAGGCGAGAGGATGCTATGATGGTCACTCGTTGTGTGGGATATGCTCTCAGACAGAAAGGCCTTCGCAGTGTCTCGGAATTGCTGGATATGTCGAACGCTTTCGCTTGCACGCCACTCGAGTGGCTGGATGAGGCAGTGGAGGAGCTGGCGGAGCCGGTGGACTGGGCCCTGCTGCACGACAGGATTCATCATCACATCGTGGAGGTCGAGGCGCGTGGCGAGGCATTACATTTCGCCCTCGGACGCGGAGGTCTCATGGGGACCTGTGAGGCGCCCAAGGAGTTTGCCGTGGCATTTCGAAGACCCGTACAACAATGGCGTGCTGAGTGTGCTGCTCAGGACGACCTCCTCCTATTCAAGACACCTATACTGGAGCTACCTGTTTCATGTGCCGTGGTGCAGTTCGCTGACGATTTGAAGAAACGCCACGTCATCCTGTCTGGTTTGGCTACCGACGCACACGCAATCATCGAGGAAAGCCAGACGTTGCTAATCACGGAGCTCGAGAAGGGGGGCTTCAAACAGAACATGAAGAAGCGCGAGATGGTCTCCGAGCTCAAACCTTCTGAAAACTTGAAGTTTAAAGCACTACTCAAGCCTGGGTCTGGAAAGATACTACCACATGCACGGCATCTTGGTGGAAGATACGTATGGAACGACAACGCCAGCGTCGAGGTCGGCTACCGCATTGACGCTTTTTTTTAAAAAAGGATGGGCTGACATGGACAGATTTTGGTTCGCCAAGAGTCCTCACAAATTACGACGACAGCTCTTTCTGGGCAAAATAGTGGGGGCTGCTCTCTCTGGCATGTGCAGCTACGTGCTCAGCGAGTCGGAACTTCATCGTCTGGACGTTCAGATTTGCAAGAAGTTGAGAGTGATGGAAGGTGGATCGCAGGTGGCACACGACACACATGTCAAAGTTCTCACGAACAAGCAACTCATGAAGCGCTGGGGAGTTGTGCCCTCAAAGGCGGCTCTGGCCATGCAAAGGATACGCTGGCTACAAGATATGGTGCGGCATCCTCTGGCTCACCAACAGGTTATTGCAGCTCTCTGGGGACACTTGGAGGACGAGCCCTCGCCGATCGACATCGAAGGGAAGCTGACGGTGAGCACCAGCCCGTTCGCCAGGCAGTTCACCCGCGACCTCATGCTGTTGGAGGGCATCAGCGGCACGGAGGATTTCTTCGAAGAATGGGCGCTGGTCGGCAGGGCTTGGCAAGAGTTATGGAGCTGCGAGGAGGTGAACACAGCTTTTTTGAAAGTTGATGCGAAGCTGCTGGAGGTGTCACTCATGAGGGAAGATCAGATATGGGAAAAACTTGCACCCAGAGCCAAGGAGACGGAGGAGCCTGAGGGAGAGTTCGTGTGCGACCTGACCGACTCGCAGGGCGCCGTTTGCGGCCCGTGTTTTGATTCCTTGAAGAAGCTGGTCGCGCATATGACGAAGGCCCGCGGCGGGTCTCACGGCGTCATGTGCCCGCTTAGATGCTGCGTGATTGCGAACCAGTGCTTGAACTGTGGCAGCCTGTTCGCTTCAAAAGATAGCGCGAGACAGCACGTTCAAGCGTCTTGGAGTCTTGGGAGATGTCGGCCTCGAGGGGGGCACCAAGCATGGGAGTTACAGGTCCCCCCTGAGATCATCTGTAAAATGTGTGGGCTCGAGTTTGACAACTTACCTGGGTATTGCACACGCGCTCGAGAGGAACACTTGCCTCGCCCCGCTCCGCGTCTGGTGGAGCGCCATCGCCTTCGCCATGCCCGCGCTGCTGGCGGCCGCCGCGGACGACAAGAAGGATGGAGGCCAAGAGCCACGCCGTGTCAAGTCACGCACAGAAGGAGGCAGCACGGACAAGAAGCTCAAAGGTGTCAGCGATCAAGGGCTACGTCGGTTCCTGCTCGCGATGGTCAAGCAGCTCCTGAAGGTGGCGCAGGGGGTGCGAGAACTCGGAGGATGCCTATTCGACACTTTTCTCTGCCCTGCGGACGGGGCGGAAGCGCTGAAGATGGCGGAGCAGACCCACAACTACGCGGAGGCGGTGAAGCGCGACGGGAAGGGTCACCAGCACGGTGCCCCCTACATCTGGGCGCTCGCGGGCATGCTGGCGGGACTTCGAGAACGCGGAGACGCAGTGGGCGCCCAGAACGCGAAGGGGATCGTGGACATGATGGAGTGGCTCGACGCGCACGGCGTAGAGGACAAGATGGAGATGATACGGATGTGCCGTCTGGACAAGACGTACGACAAGGACAAGAAGCGGATCACCTTTGTGCTACGAGACGAGCGCTGGCGCCAGACGGTGATCGCGTGCTGCGTTCAGGCGGGGATGGAGCGCAAGCAGGGGAAGGCCCCAGCGTCGTTCATGGAGAGGGGGCTCCAGGAGTACGTTGTGCAGCTGGTCGGTTGAGTGCACGACCAGCCAGAGCACCAGACGCTGACGGGCCTGCACGGGGGCCTGATGGCGTACGTGAGCCTGCGGCCGCTGCAGGCGATTTTGCTGCTTTGCCTGTCGGCAGCCCCGCCGTTGCACTGAGTGTTTCGTCTGAGATTTGTCTCCCCTCTCCGACCTCGTCCTCGATCCTCGCCTCGTCCTCCTCTTCCTCGAATGCGTTGGGGCCCCAGGGGAGTTCAGTGCTCACCGCGACAGTTGCGGAGGCCCCCAGGGAACCAGCGACCCCCGAGGCTCTTTTGATTTCTCTTGGGATCAAGCGGGGCAGCCCTCGCTGGAACACTTTGATGGGTAGTGAAAGGTTGCGCTCGATGTTAAAACGCACGAAGCACTAAGTTCGTTTCCTCCAGTCGGCCGTACCTCTCGAGTCGGTCGGCGGGGCCAACCGTGGGCCACTCTCGGCCTTTGGTGCGGCCCCCTCGCCCTGCGTTCTTCGCTGGTCGTCTCGGTCCAAAGCACCGCGCGCCGCCTCTCATTGATGTCAGTGTATTTCAGAGTGATGAATCTGGATTCCTAGCAGAAGTTTCGCAGGAGCAGCCTCACAAAGATAAGACACACATAGGGGCCCAAGGCGCAGAATGAAAAAATCAGCATCATCATCATCATCCTCATCCTCATCCTCATCATCATCATCATCATCATCATAGTCATCATCGTCATCATCAGCATCAGCATCGGCATCATCATCATCATCATCGTCAGCATCATCAGCATCAGCATCAACATCGGCATCATCATCATCATAGTCATCATCATCATCATCGTGTTCATTGTCGTCGTCCTCACTACCACCACCACCACCACAACTACCATGACTATCATCGTGATCGTGAAGCTCATCAAGCTCATCATCATCATCATCATTATCATCATCATCATCATCACCTTTATCATCATCATCATCATCCGCATCATCATCATCCTAAGCGTGATCATCATCAACAACAACATCATCTTCAGAATCGTCATCATCATCGGCATTACCATCATCAGCACCATCACCATCATCATCATCATCATCATCGGACCTATCATCAGCATCATTGCCATCGCCATCGTCATTACTACGACCATTCTCACCATCACAATCTTCAACTCGCAGTCGTTATCATCGTCATCATCATTATCATCACCATTGTCACTATCATCATCATCATCATCATTAACATCATAATCGTAATCGCCATCATCACCACCACCATCACAATCATCAAACTCATCAAGATCGTCATCATCATCGTCGTCATTATCATCATCATAATCGCCATCACCATCATCATCGGAATCATAATCGTCAACATCCTCATCATCATAATCATCATCATCATCATCATAATCTTCATCACCATCGTCTTCGCCATCGCCATCGTCATCACTACTACCATCATCACCATCACAATATCCAAACTCGTAATCATCATTACCATCATTCGCAGCATCATCATTATCACCATCACCAATCAACACTATCATCATCGTCATCACCATCGTCATCGACATCACCACCACCACCGTAACGGTCATCCCACACATCAAATTCATCAGCATCATCACCGTCATCATCATCCTCATCCTCATTGGCATCACTACCACCAAAATCAATTCCACCACAATCATCAAACTCATCATCACCATCATCAGCATCATGGACGTCATCACCATCATCATCAATATCATCATCAAAGTCGTCATCGTCATCGTCATCACCACTTCCACCCGCACCATCACCATCACAACCATCAAACTCGTCCTCACCAGCATCATCATCGTCAGTCTCATCGTCGTCATCAGTGTCGTCATCGTCATCGTCATCACTACCACAATCACCATCACAATGTCAATATTCCAACCCGTAAGCATCACCATCATCAACATCATCACCATCGCTGCCCTCGTCATCAGGATCAGCATATTCATCATCCTCATCACTGTCACCCTTATCCTTATCACTACCACCACTATCGCCACCATCGTCACAATCATCAAACTCTCAAGCATCATCATCAGCATCGTGATCGTCATCGTCTTCATCATTGTTCGCATCATAATCATCATCAGCATCATCAGCACCATCATCAGTACCCATTCACTATCAGAATCCTCATCAGCATTCTCATCATCATCGCCATCATCATCGTCATCACCATTAGCATCAACATCAACATTTGTATCATCAGCACCATCATCAGATTTACCACAATCATCATCACCATCATCATCACCATCATCACCACCATCATCAACAACACCACCATCATCATCCCATCATCATCAGCAGCGTCATCATCATCACCATCGTCACCATCATGATCATCAACAACAGCTTCGTCACCAGCATCAGCATCTCAATCGACATCATAGCCATGACACCATCATCAGCTCACTTCTCATCATCCTTCCCCGACTTCCCCTGCCGCATCCTCATCGTCTTCATCGTCGGAGGGCGTCGACACGAGCCTTGCACATCTCGTGCATCTTCGTCTTCGCCGTCCTCCTCCTCTTCCTCCTCGGCCCTCCTCCTGTTCCTCCCCCCCTCCTGTTCCTTCCTCCCTCTTCCTCCTCGGCCCTCCTCCTGTTCCTTCCTCTTCCTTCCTTCTCCTCCTCCTTCCTCCCTCTTCCTCCTCGGCCCTCCTCCTGTTCCTCCCCCTCCTCCCCGCCTGGGTGATGCCGGAGTCCTTCGGCCTCTACTCGAGCGCGAGCATGGAGAGCCCTGGGGGCCACCAAGGCTGGACGAGCTCAATGCAGAGCAGGAGGAAGGAGAGGGAATGAAGAGCGAGAAAGAGGAGAAGGGTGAGAGGAGGGTGCAGGAAGTTCGGGGGACACTCAGGAGGAGGAGGAGGAGGAGGAGGAGGAGGAGGAGGAAGGCCGCAATTTTGGCTCAAGCCATTTTGGCCCAAGGCTCAAGGGCCATTCTGGCCCCTGGCGCGCCCGCGCCGCCGAAAGACGACGACGACGACGACGACGACGACGACGACGACGACGACGACGACGACGACGACGACGACGACGACGACGACGACGACGACGACGACGACGACGACGACGACGACGACGACGACGACGACGACGACGACGACGCGCCCCGCCACCGCGCCGCAGCGCTGCGCCCGCCGCCGCCAGCCCCGGCCGCCCTGCGCGCGCGGGCGGGCGGGGGGCCGAGGGCCGCTGGCGGGCGCGCGCGCGCGCGCCTTGCCTCTCCGGGTCCTGGCGCGGGCTGGCACCCAGGAGCGGGGGAAGCCAGCGCTGCTCCGGCGGCCGCAAGCATGGATCAACCCAGACATCGGGCGTCTCGAAAAAATCGAGACGGAGGTTTTTCATAGTTTTTCGGCCTCTCGGGGCCCTCGCCGGGCCTCGGGACCTTCAAATAACGACTCGGGGTGACAAACCGGCCCCAGGGAAGTGGTCGGGAGGTCGGGGGCCCGCGTCTCGAAAAAATCGAGACGTCGAATGTCTGGGAATGGGGGCGTGGATTAGCGACGGGTGCCGTTTCCATGGGGGATCGCAGGCTTCCGCCGCCGAGCGAGGCGGCGCCGGCCGCACTTTGGGGAGGGCAACACCCCCCCGTCCATGGATTTGGCGACCGCGCGCCAAATCAATGGATTGCAGTCGGCCCGGGTCAGAAGGGTGCGCGACAAGGCTGCAGGGACCTCGGACGCCCATGTCGAAGCCTTTCGGGCGGGGCGCGGCCAGCGAAAGAGGCCAAGGATGGACCGAGCAGGGAAGGACGCGAGGGTGAAGTCGGGAGCATCGCTCCTCCTTACCATGCGGGCCGAGGAGGATCTTGCCCTCCCCGACCGTATGCCCTGCTGCGGCGCAGGACGGTTTTTCTCTTGCTATGTCCCTGGCCACGGGGCGGTCGCCCATCGTGTGGCCTGCTGGAGGTCTTCTTTCGGTCAGTGAGGTCCCCCTCACTGCCAGCAGCGCTGTCCCCGCCGCCGCTGCTGTGTTCACCAAGGCTGTGCGGGCGTTTAGCTCAAAAAAAGTGACCTCACAGCGCTCGGCTTTTGCATCGGGCGTGCACCTCCGGGCAAAGTTCTCTGAGTGCGCCCGGCTGTGCCGGACGAGTGCTCGGAGGGTGCGTCGTCGCCCGCCGCCCTTCCCCCCCAGCCTATAGGACTTTTGCAATGTCCGCCGGCCTTCCCTCGGTGACATCTCAGGAGGGGAAAAACACACAGACACAATTCATGGTCCCCCCCAGGGAAATATGGGAAAGTAGTGGGAGTGGGGGAGGAGACAGGAACCCAGAATGGGAAAATTTGGGGGATCCTGTGATTAGTGTGTATTTGTTTGTGTGCCTGTGGGCCCCTTCAGTCACATCGTGGCCATCCTGAGAGAGGCGGAGACGGAAAAGGAAACGGACGCGCTCGGAGTCGCGCTCGCGCGCGCGCGGGCTGGGGGCCGCGGCCGGGCGCGCGCGCGCGCCTGAAGTTTTGGAAGGTGTGCACCACGAGCTGCCAGATACCATGGCCTCCCAGGTGGGGTCCGGGCAGATGGCGTCGGGGGACGGTGCCGCATCGCCGATGCTTCGCCGATGCGGCTCGTCGTGGAGCCCGATGTTCTCCGCGCCGACGGCGCCGATGCGTCGCCAGAGCCGATAAATCCTAGATGCGTCGGCGAGGTATCGAGAATGTATCGCCGATGCGGCGCGATCCTCCGACCCCATATATCCGGACCCCATCCAGGAGGCTTCTGCAGATACTTGTATCCCACGGCCGTACCTCACGATCTGCGTGGTTGCCACTGCGGACCACAGGAGTTTCACTGCGATCGTCGGCTACACGGCAAGATCTTACGTTCATGTCCAATGCGATCCACAGGACCCTCACTGCAATCATCGGCTATACGACAAGATTTGTCATTACGTCCGCTGCGATCTACAGGACTGTCACCGTGATCCGCGCGAAGTCCAACGCGATATGCGAGGGGGATCTCGTTCGAAAGCCAAACGGTCAA